GCATATCGACAGAGCACCTAGAACAAAACGCGCTGTCACCTGAAATGGCACAGAAAGAGCCCCAATCAACTTGTTGTTCATCACTAAACAAGAGCTGAGATTATTAAGAAAAGAACCAGGTGAGAGAAAAATTCCAGTCACTTAGGACTTACCTGGTTTTTTGCAGACGATGCATTGCTTGGGCTCGGGCGACGTTCGTCCTGGACTGATCCTTTCGATTATTAATCCGCTGGGCAGGTTGGGGATGGCTGGAAACGACGACTCAGTTTTGTGGCCTAAAAACATCGATTAGCAACACAGGTTTTTAATCGTTCAGACTACTTACCATTTAATGGGGATTTTTTGCCATTGGTGGCCCGCGGGGGAGACTTTGATGTTGACGGGCCTGGTTCCTGGTTTGACGGGCCTGGTTCCTGGTTCTTGCGGCTTCTGGTGTTAGGCGGCGATGGGGCATGCCTCAAAAAAGTTTTTCGTTTCTTCTTCTTCTAAAAAGCAAATTTCACTCAATATGCACACTAGAGTAGCTCTTAGCTCTATCGGTGATTATTTATATTACCAGGCTAAATCTGGAATTTATTAGTGTCTAGTTCCAGGTTCCATCAGGAAAATTATTTTACTGTTTGAAAAAGTTCTCTGGTGCTGAGACACTAACAATTCGATAGTAGCAAACTCAGGGTCACCCTAATGAACATCCACGTGTTCCAGCCACTTACCGGCGGCTGTCCGGACTGATCCCCCCGTTTGCTGTATACAAACTGGGGGTTGGCCGTGCTTCTTCGCTTTCGCTCAGCTTTCTTCTTCAGCATCTCTGCATAGACGTCGTTGGTGGCCAGTCGGAAGTATTCCAGGAAGGTGATCTGGCTCAGATGCTCGGGCCGGGTGGGGTTCCTTGCTCGGACGCGGGGGGGCGACTGCCTCCCCTCCGACTCATCTGAGGGCGAGTTGCGCTCCCGCGTCATCAACTTCTGCTTGCGAGCCCTGCTGATGGATGTGACCAGATCGGATCGCCGCTCATCCAAAGACCTCGTTACTACCTCAGTTTTTACAGATTGCTGATGGTTTTTGAACTCTTCTCGCAGTTTTTTCATCAACGTTAGCTGTAAACAAACCTGTCTTAGAGAAACGAGCAGGCAAAGTCTTGCGGATGCTTTCAGGGTCTGTGCCCCCATTTTGCCTTTGCTTTGATTGATGATAGGGTGGAAAATAACGATTATTATTGTTTTGTCGCATGTAAAGGGATTTTTTTCACAAATTTATTCTGGAATTAATCAATCAAATATACGATATTGTTTGATTGCACAGGCGAGGATTGTTGATAGTTTGAGCCCCGTGACCATGATCGGCTGAAATGCGCCAAATGTCCGTTGTTAAAGGTCGTTTTCGCTTATCTAAATTTAACCTAAATGTTTTCATTTAAGATGCTTGAGGGTACGAGGTAATGATATAAAAAGATAGTTCATAGTGTCTTGGCCCAAAGATTTGCTGTTTGTTTTTGCTTTGTCCTACTTAGATAAGTTTTTTTACGGCAAACTTTCTCCAGAATCTTGACGGACAAGGGTAGATTTTAAGGGAGGTTAAAAGGATTTCGCCGGGTTGCTCCCAGGCCTCCAGCCAAAGATGTTGTTTCTTGCGAGGGAAAAAGTGATAAAAAGTGCGCGTTCATTACCTGAAAGATTCCTAATTCGACAATCTTGCTCTCGGCCTCTGCCAGCTCCTGAGCAATAGTCTCGTCGTCCTGAAAAGCAATTCCAAGTTAAAATCAGGTAAAAGGGCTGCTTTAAGTCAAACTTACATCTGAGTGCTGCTTCAACTTGGCTGCGACCCCCTGAAACAACAAGTGAAAGCTTTAGTTTATTTATATATTAAAGCAAAAAAGTGCAAAGTTGGGGAATAGGAAAATTCAGTTTTCTCTTAGAGAAGCTCAATTAAGTAAGTAGGCATGTTTCCGGCTGCTGGATCAGTCAAAAGTCCTAGTTGAAAACTAATCTTTTTACAAAAAAATACTCTAATAATTTCCTGAAAAGTTTTGCTTAAAATGATCTACACGGCGCTGCGGAGGGTTGCTTCCGTTGCCCACATGGCGATCTGCTATGGCCCTCTCAACTAATGGTTGACGTGCGGGCAAATGCGATTGAAAAATTGGAAAACTTACCTGATGATTACGAATAGAATTCAGTAACTGATTTTGATTAGTTTCTATATCATCTTTCAGTTGTTTGGTGATTTTCAGCACGTGCATTTTGCCTTTTTCTTGCTTTGGCCCCTTTTCAGGCCAACCGCGTTATACCCAAAAAATTAATAGCGACTTTTGCGTTCCGGCTGCTAAACGGGATTGGCCCGATTACTTTGTAAAACGTACGAGTGCGGAATCGGCGCACGTTGCGAACATGGACGACGAAATAAAACTCGATAATGTATGATTCGGCTTAGAACAGTTTGGTGGCGGTGGCGGACGTCATTTAACAATTATTTCCAAACCGACTTTCACTGACGATCGTCCCGAAAATTGGGTTTGAATGGAAACTCTAGAAACAACTGAGAAGATGCTGCATCTCCACGTGCATTGAAAAGGGACATGGTTCCATCGTAACGATCGGATCACGTCAGGTTAGATGCGGAATTAACCGATCGAGGGCGGCGTTGCGCAGTTTCTCAGTTATCAAATAGTGTTCGGACGCTTCCTACACATTTGAAATTTTTTTACACTAAAATTATTGAGCTTTTCAGTTTTAACCACTGCCATTATTTAACCTTTAGTTCACACATGCACTAGAATTTACTCAAATACACTAATAAATTGTCCAGTATTTCCTAACGAAATTTCGTAAATGCTTGGAGATATTTAGGCGATTTGAATCAAATCTACTCTAGAAGAGTTTGAGGCTTAACTTAACTGTTAAATTTCAACTTTTGCTTCAAAGTTGTAATTCAATAGTTCTCATGTGCGATTATTTCTTGTTGAAAAAAAGCAATAATTTTGACTCGTGTTGGTGACAATGACTGAGATTTTAACCTAAAAACCCACTTTTTCGTTTCGTCGTCCGACGGTGGTCCGACGGCAGATATTTTTTCTTAACCGTCCGCACCAGTCCTGGCTGATTGCGCTTTACTTGCGTAGTACTGCCGCGTTGCCGGTTTGATACTTCCATTGCGAACGAAGTTATAACCACAGAAAAACACGGTTTCTTGTGGATTCTAGCACCTTTTAAGTTCACTCAGTGTCACTTGAGAGTCGACTATAAATACGGCCATCAGTGGCTGTTGCTGAAATTCATGTTAATTTCATCGTTAGTGATTATACAATTAGTTCCCGCAGTAAAGATTTGGATTGTTGGAGTTTTAATAGTCATGGATCTTGTTTGTTTTTTATTGTTTTCTGCTTCCCAAAAACATATAAATTTCCGCAATTATATACAAATATTGAACACATTTAATTTTGAAGAAACGAAGAAAAAGTATTTTTAAGTTTGTAGATTTTATTCAATTTATGAAATTCGTCCAAAGGTATTCTGTAATTCGTAAAGCATAGACTGAGCTTGAAAAAATTGAATAAAATCTACACTGAGTGTACACACCGTAAAGTGCATGCTAATCTTTCTCCTGCAGGTATAGGATCTCGGCTTACTTGGAAGCACGAAAAAAACGTAGACAATATTCTGCTTAATTTTATTTCAAATTCAGTTAGAACAATGATGTTTAGTGTCAAATATTAACAGAAAATTTGTTTTATTTTACCAATAGGAGAGGATTCGAGTACGCATAGCTTCCAGAAGACGCCAAATTGCGGCCTGCATTTGTTGACTTGTGCCTTACTATTTTTATTTTCTATCCAATTCTAGTCGCCTTTTAAACTGCGAAAAAATCACGTTTAATCAACAGCAAAAAGACATACTTTTACACATTTTCATGGAAATTAAATCATTTTTGCGCTAGAAACAAATTAAATACTAGAAAAATTTTCACCATTTTGACGGCTAATTTGAGATTGTTTCTAAAAGTGTTGAATACAAAAGTTTAAGATTTTTTATTACCTACAACTTTTATATTGAAGGTTTTGCCCTAGGAAGTCACGTTTCGCCGCAAATCGCAAAAAACTATTTCACGATTTCCAGTGTTTTCGGTTTAAACTTATTATCAAATTTGGAACCTCAATAAAATGTTCAACCCGGTCCACGTCGGACATTTTTTCCTACTTTATGAATTTAAAATTTGTTTCGGCACGTGCTTGGGGTTCTTGATTAAAATTATTGGTTTCATTTCTCGGCGATCGTTGGGAATTGCCAATGCATTTTTTATTTGTGCCTATCTTGAATGAGTTTTTCCATTTTATTCATTATTTGACTGCATAAATAATATTTTAAAAGCGTTGTTCTTCACTGTTCTCGTAAAAAAGTGAATTGGTATTTTATGGAAGAACATAAAATTAGCACACTTACATCAAAACAATACTAAAGGCGAATGTTTCATTTGTTAAAAAAAAATTGTTTTTAAAATTTCGATAAAATCTTGCAATAACAATAAGATCTAATTGAACAAAAATGAATCTTCAAATCACATTGGTATTTTTGAATCACCGGGAAGAAGTGCTCAAGCTGGCAACCACGCATTACGAAAGAACAATTTTCTAACCAATCTTGGATATTTCAATAGTGTCTCAAATAATGACGTTTAGTATTGATGTCCAAAGGCAAGGGAGATTACTATTTGATTCTGATATTCAATAAGTAGCGCGGATTACAAAAGTTATACTGTTTTCTGAGGGCGAAAAATAAAGTTTTTAAAACTTCTATGACAGCGTATTTCAGAACAATAATATGTGATTCAACATAAATTAATATTTTTAAATCACTGGGAACAAACGCTCCAGCTGGCAATAGCGTAATATGAAAGAACATCTTTCTAAACAATCTCGGATCTCTAGCAGAATCTGAGTAAATTTCAATATGGCCTTGCAGATAATGACGTCACTGCGAGATGGCTTGGAATCTTTCATGTAAACTTAGAAAACTTGAATTGAGTACAAACAAGATATTTTACATTCAAAGCTTGGGACAGACTGCATCACTGCAACAGTTTCAAATCAAGGTATAACTGACGTTTGAGGTTAGATCACCGTATCCCTTTTGCAAAACAAACATTGTTTACATCTGGAAAATGATTGGAACGTACTATTTTGTGATCGTGGGACACAAAGACAAGCCCTTGTTCGAAATGGAGTTCACCAACAACAAGGACCCAAAGGTGCTTTATAGTTTCTCCTTAAAGCCCTCCCTTAACTCGTTCAGTTCTAGAAAGAGGACCACCGACATCTGAACCAGTTTATAGCACACAGTGCTCTAGACTTGATCGATGAGCACAAATGGAAGACGCAAAATATGTACCTCAAGTCAGTGGACAAGTTTAACCAGTGGTTTGTGTCCGCCTTCGTGACTGCCAGCCTGATCAGGTTCGTCATTGTTCACGACAATCGCAACGATGATGGCATCAAGAATTTCTTCAATGAGATATATGAGGCCTATATCAAACATGCGATGAATCCGTTCTATGAGGAGAACAGCCCCATTCGAGGCGCAGCCTTTGAGAAAAAGGTCTTGTCCTATGGGAAGAAGTATCTGTTGAACTAGCTGTACGTTATTTGCTTCAAATTGAATCAGGACCGTTTGGAGAGGTAATCAAACCTGCAGGAGCCAGAGGATTATTTAATGAGTGTCAGTCAAGCAAATCACCAGCTAGAGTACTTAGCAATAACAGCTTTTATGTACAAAACAGGCAACCAAAACAATCTTTCACTTATTGCAATAGACATCCAACAGTATGAGAGTCCCAACTAATAAATAAAAGCAAATACTGTCCTCAATGCCTGAGATTTGCTGAGGTTAATTAAAATGCGACATTCTCTCACATATAAACAATTAAAGTACTTCCAAGTCGCAATGCCGTATCTCCGGGTGCTTCTTCTGCAAGAAAAAAGCCTGACTTATAAAAGCACGAGGAAGCAATGCTGTGTCTTACCCGTAATTTCATCTCGATGCGATCGATTTCTCCGCCCATCAGGTCAACAATGTTCTCCCCGTGCTTCAGCATAAACTCCTCAAGTTGGTCGATATTTTCCAGCTTTCGGGCCTCCTAAAAAACAACCCGACCGCCACTTTCAGCGTTTTTAATCTGGTAAAACGCACCTCGAGCAATTCATTGAGGTCCTGCTTGTCCAAATAGGATCTAGCCAGTTCGCGCCCGTCAAAGTCCAGCTCCGCCTTGTACCTGACCAGGTAGTTGCCCATATCGATGCCCTTCACATCGTGAATCGCCCGGATCATTACATCCTTTTCCAGCTCGGCGTTGATTCTCTCCAAATTCTCCTCCGGTATGGACCTTCAGATAACCACCCACTTAGAAGCGGCTGGAAAGCTGTGAAGTACCCACCTGCCCACCAGAGCTGCCACGTTGGTGTAAATAATGAAAGAAGCTACAGAGCCCAAAATACAGCCAACTAGTAGAGAACCCAAGGCATCTGGAATCGGGTTGTTGGTGGCGGAGGAAATTCCCATGCATCCAGCAGCCACAATCACGCCCACCACAGCTGCAAAGTCCTCCAAAAGCACCACGTTTACGCTGGGATCCTGCCCGCGGAAAACTGAAACAGCAATGAATCCAAGAGGTTTTCACCGGCATTCAGCGTCTTACTGTAGTCTTTGACGGACATGTTGATCTCCCTGGCGCCTTTTCTAATGGAGTTGAAGGCGACCAGCCAGGTGGCTCCTTCCGATACCAAAGAGCCCCCTAAAATGAAGTAGGCCTGCAAAACGACCCTTAATTCGAGTGGAGCTGGACATTGATCGGGGCTTACCCAAAAAAAGTCCTCCATGGGTTGTGGATGCAACAGCCCAGAAATTCCGTGGTAGAACGATAAACCGGTGCCAACGCAAAAGATGCCCACACCGGAAATCAGGGACGCCACGTACTTCATGTTGGAATATCCATATGGATGGTAGGAGTCAGCTATCTGGAAAAGCAGAATTTACTGGTTTCTTGCATAGAGAGGAATGTCTGGCGGTCTACTTGTATGGATTTGTGGATGCCGTACGCAAGGATGAGCTGGTTTATGGTGTCGGCCAAGGAATGTATGCATTCGGAGAACATACTGTGAGAGCCCGTGTATAACCAGGCGAAAAGCTTAAAGAGGCAATTCGTTCCGTTTCTAAAGCAAACCAAATTGTTATCACTGGGTTAGTCAGGACTACGGTGGAGCAATTACATTACAACCGCTGTAAGCACCACTCTGCCCGATCGCCCCATTAGGCCTGATTCATCCTCGATGATATCCGCCGATTTTCCCAGCTCCCTTCTGTAGTCCCGCAGGCGCCTTTTCACGGTGAATATGTCTTAAATTGAATAAAGCCCTGGTAGTTAATCAGCAGCCCCGCAACTTTTTAGCTTACTTTGCTGGTACTTCTTCCTCTCAATGTCCCGCTTGATGAGCTCCTTGTGCAGGGCCTCCTTCGAGCCCCAAACCTCCAAAGCTTTAGCCTCCACATCCCTTCTCCAGTAGACGGTTATTGGAGGTTCTGTCTCGTAGGGCGATCGCCTCTTGGTTTTGGGCAGCGACTCCAGTTCGGACGGCTTTAGCAGGAAATCTGACATGGCCCTAACTGGGGTGATAAAGTTCCTTTCCAGCGACTGGGCAGTCAAGTCCACTTTCTTTCGCTTCTTCGGCAGGGGTTTCGCTAAAAGCCAAACAGCCTGGATGTGTGCCAAGCGAAAACAAATACTGTCCTACCAGTCGGTTCCTTTGGTTCATCCTTCTTGTCCAGGCCGATTAGTTTTTCCTTGATTTTCGTGGTGATTGTGGCTTTTTCCGCAGGCTTTACACTCTCCAAGCTTTGCTCTTTGATGTTTTTGTTATTTGCGGCAGCAGCTGCCGCCGATAAGTCTACAGGTTGCAGATGCGGCGCCAGCACTTTTATAACGGGACTGGTAGTTTCGGGGGTTTGAGAGGCCTCCTTGTCTTCCTTTTTTGGGAGGATAGTGGCGCTGACTTTTGTGTCTTTGGACGTATTGCGGTGTTTGGCCTGGCAGGTTTTTAGATTACGAAACAACGGTTCTTGATGTATGGGTGACAGGTGCGAGAATCCACGCAGCCCTAAAACATTGTTCGCTGTGCGAATAACCTTAGGACGTGGAAAAGATCTGCTTACCAGGATTGTCAGCGCATCGCTTTGACGCCTGGATGGCCAGAAGCTTTCGTAGAGTGAACCTGCTTCGCAGTAACATTGTTTTGTCGAATACAGGTGGGTTTAAACTTGTAAATTTCCGCTCAGTTGAGTGCGGCCGTACATAACCTCAAATAGGTGACAACAGCTTTAAGTGACTGCTATGGTTGGGATTATGGAGTCCAATGGGGCAACTAGGCATGAGGGTGAAGCTGCAAGGAACCAGCAAGGTTTGTTTGGGTGATTATCGAAATGTATTCAAATGGTTATGCGGGTGACATTTTCAAACTGACAGTTTGAGTCTCGATGGGGCTGTGCTGCCAATAATAATTGTACAAAACAGTGTCGGTTGGTTGTACTTTCTGCTGCGCGATTGCAGTGTTGCCGCTCCGCTGAGTGGCTCGTTCAAAACTTGTAAAAGTTATGAACAAAATTAAAAACGAAAGAAAGGAAATTCCTTAGAAAATTGTACAAAACAAATTATACACAGAGTCTTCGGTAATAAATGCGTTTGTAACTCGTCGGACTTTTTATTTGCGCTTATCAAATTGCTCACCTTATAGAAAACCACATTACAAACAACTTTCTTCCTCTAGATTTTTCGAGAAAATGCTGTTTTCTGCCACTTTTTGTCCACTGAAATTTATCCTATTTTCTTCAGATGTCACAAAGCGCCGACCGAATAAAAATCGCGCATTTGCCAATTTTTTGTTTCA